GGCAAATCTTTCACTCTACCTCCTCTTATTAACACCATAGAATGTTCCTGCAAATTATGACCTTCGCCTGGAATGTGAGCAAATATATCATGTTGATTGCTCAAACGTACTTTGGCTATCTTACGTGGAGCTGAATTTGGTTTTTTCGGTGTTCTCGTTGAAACACGCGGGCATACTCCTTGCTTCTGGGGACATTGATCCGAAGCTCGAGTACGGTCCGTGCGCCGTTTTTCTTCTCTACCATGACGAATCAATTGATTTAATGTGGGCATCGCTCTTTCCTTTGTCCTTCCCCCCTATTTTTGCCCTATCACTAGTGATTACTCCCGATCCGAAGCACCCCTTTTCCATTCATAGAGAGATCCAATCGTCAAAATCAATAAAAAGGCCATCATGGACCAAGATCCAAACGGATCAATCTTGTTGAGAGGTACTGCCCAAGGAAAGGAAAAGGTTACTTCCGGATCAAGGATAATAAATAAAATTGAAACAAGATAAAATCGTATATCGAAACGACTTCTGGCATCACCGAAAGGATCGAAACCACATTCATAGGCCGACAATTTTTCTGGATAGGTTGAACTATTGGAAGCAAATGGAAAAGGAACACCGAGTGGGATCAAAGAAACTAGCGGACTGATCACTAAATAGATACAAATAGGTGCAAATTCTGACATCACCACAGCCCACTTGGTTCTTTCGCTCCTTGCTCGCGGAGCGGCATAACGGAAAAAAAGTCGGAATTCTACAATTTCGTGGTCAGCTTAGCGAACGCCTCCGACTGGCGTCCGCCCTCCCGGAGGGCGTCCAATATCGCGAAAAGCCTCTCGAGGGACTCCTCCCCCGGGGGGCGCCCGAGCACCGCGTTCCAACCAAGGCCCTTCTGGGTCGAGGCGTGACATTTCCCCGAGAATCTCTGCTTTGACCTCAAAGAGGTCCTCGGCCCGGGCGAACTCGCAGACCTCGTAGGTCAGCCTCGTGCCCCGACAAGAGTCGCCTCTTTATGGTCTCGACACTATCGCCCCCTATCACCTGATCTGGTTGATACGGATAGGGAGCGGGGCCTTGGTTGGACGGCCCAGCTTCCTGGGAACCCGCTGGATTCGCGGGCGGTACAGCTTCCCGGGAACCTCCTGGATTCGCGGGCGGCGCAGCCTCAGAAGGGGCGGGCTCCCCCCCGGGCTGTTCCACCGAGTCTCTAAAGAGAGACTCCCCGCTTATGCCCGGGGAAGAGATTTCGAGCGGCGAACCAGGAAGCCGCTGCCCGACTCCCTGAGAAGGCTGCGAATTTCCTTCTTCCCGGGGTATTTTGAACCCAGGCGGAAATACCCTAAAAAAAGGAAGAGGAAGGATGGTCATCCCCCCCGGCCCCATAAGCATTCATCATAATACACGTAGAGGAAAAAATGGCCCCTACGGCAATAAAGAAAGAACTTCGGATCCAAAAAAAGTAAAAAAAAACAAAATGAGATGCACGATTAGCTTCAATTGAAAGGGCATCTTTCTCCTTCTCCAATAAAGCCATAGATAGATAAAGATCAAAGCTAACAGAAAAACAGTAAGAAGCATGCAGTCAAATGGATTGAAATCAATAATATTCTGCAAATTTCTACGCAGCCACATGGATGAGCATGTACTTATCAAACCTAAACTCAAGCCTCTCATAATAATAGGGAACTGTTACTAAAACGAGCCACGCCAAGGTGAAAGGATTCGAACCTAAACAGATGCGCTGACCAGACTGCGCTACACCTTGTCTTACCCACTCACTAGCTCTTCGTCGTTCGCCTCACCTCACTGCCGATCGCCGCGCTCCTTATCTACGCTAAATGTCCGTACCGTACGTTCTTTTTCGCGAAGAGCGACCTCGACCGACCGAACCAACGCCTTATCAAACATACTTTGATTTTGTCAAGGCTCTCGCGGGCAGCCGTACATGATACCCGACGGTTTGCACCCGCCTGCGGCGAAGGCCTGGTCAATCGTATACGATCATCAAAATCGGAGTCGCTAACACCCATTTTGAGTTGCCTCGTCCTTAGAGTCAAGCTGGATCTTCATTCTACGATAAATCTGCCTGCTGATTGTTCAAGTGGGCTGCGAGCGAAGGGAATAAACCCCGAGCGGGATCAGAGGGCACCTCCCCCCAAAAAGGAGGGGGAACTCTGAGCCCACGCAGGATACATGACCGACACTGAGCACTGCAGCAGCGAGCGGGTTAGCCAAGCAGCAGCTTCTTACGGGACGACTAAGTGCGCTGAAACCAACCGGCGGTGGGATCGCGACTTCCTGTGCTAGTAGACGCGACTTTTCCCCCCTTACTGGAGGACCCGAATGAAGCCGCTTGGCAAGAAAGATTAAATGCTAGATTTTGCTCTGTCGTATTGTCTTAATTTATTTCATTTTTTAATTAATTCATTCCAAGCTTCATTCAATTATCTGTCTCGACAAGCTGAATTTTAATAGGTGTTCAGTTCACAAGCTTCACCCAAACGATTTCACTCAAATAGGTGCGTGACTCTATCAAAGGATGGAACAGAACTCCAGTTAGCTCTAGATTCTCCTAGTGGTTGATTTTACCATATGGTAAGGTTGGTGCATTGTTATTGCCCGTAGCTACCTTCATTAGGTGTCCCCGACTGAGCTTAAAAACCGGCCTGGTGGGCATGCGCCGGGCTAGTCTCCTGTTCGAATAGGTTTTGGGTAAGCAGAATTTAGGCGAGTTGTTGGAATCCGCTTTGCGCAAGCTTTCCCGGCATTTTTGGATGACATTTATGTCTGTAAAATATTATTTTTGTAAGGTTCGACTTAAAACGGACAAGAGGAATTCTCTTCATGGCTTACTGGAAGTTCGGCTAACTCTTCCCTTTAGAGTGAGTTTTGAACGTTCTTAGCGAAACTCTCGGCGATTGAAGGGCGGCAGCAGCGGTTCATCAAGCAGCAGCTCACCAATCTGTTTTATGATCAATCAATCCATCCGGGTGCAGGAGAAAGCGAAGCGTATGGGTTATTGGAAAGGTAGTGGGCACAGTAAGCATGAGTCGATTTCAGGATGACGACTGCTATGTTTATTTAGCTTTTGTCACACAAAAACGACATTTTCTGTTCTTAACAAAGTGCGGAGTTACCTTTTCGCTGGGTTTGTTGCTTAAGCGCGTAAGCAGCATGGTCATCACTTTCTTTGATTTGATGATCATGCATTACGGTAATAACTCAGCGCGCAGCAAGACCTCTTCTCGCAATTGACGTCTTTTTAAGACATTATCCACCTGTCGCTAAATGCCAGATTCCAGAAAATGTCGTTTGATTAATAGAAATTCTGATATGTTTGTAAAAAAAATTTAACTTGCTTGCACTGTGTAGGAAAAATGCCTATGACCCATAGTTACAGGAAATCTCGATTTCTACTTAGAGAGGATCACTTATGGGATCGTTCTTGACACGAAATTGGCGATTGTTAGCGGACGGCTGCACCTCATCATTGCTACCCTCGAAATTAATTGGCTAGCTAGCTAGAATATGCATGTCGCTTCTCTGAGCACTTTTACTCACTACTACTTTCTTCCCGTCCCTTTTTTAATTTCAACTAAGCTTGGCACAGCCGCCTAAGAAACTGCTTTCAGTCACGGTCGCGGATCAGGAGAGAGTTACTTGTGTGACGCATCTATATCTGGGGATGATCGGGTAGAACTCAGGGCTGTCAGGTGTCAATCGGGGAACGATCGATTGGGTGTCCGGGGTGCAATAAAGATAGGGGACGATACGCTTCGCCGTGCCAGCTATGAGGCTATATTCTCGTTGAGTCGGGCGCGTGGGAAGACTGTCCTGTCGGGTTGGAAAACCAACATCGGACCGGGATGTTGTTCCCTCCTTGTCTGAAAAGATTCGGGAAAAATCGGGTAAGTTCGCTCTACACTGTCCCTTAGATTGGGAAGGACATAGGCTCGGCACATTTCGTAGCTATCATCGTCGCGTCCGTCAAATTCAGGCGTTGGTACATTCTGCAGCTTTTCGGTACACGGCCTTGCGTTGTCGTCAGCCGTACGCCGTTGAGCAGCAGTCTTTAGAAGCATGTCATCTATGAACGATCCGATGAAACTAGAGATGGAATAAAACCTAGCTTTTCGTCACGCGAATTCGCCGCCAGTCTTTGAGGTCGCCTTCCTTGCTTGACAGTATAGCCTGCGGGTGAAATACTAGATGTCGGATTGTACATGGGAATGATAATGGTGAGGCCATTGAATGAGAAATCACGACCTTAAACACTTGCCTGTAGCTATAGTGTCAACTTGACGCGCTGAACGACTATGATCAGAATCCTTTCGGGGTCTAGCACTGATATTTCCGCTAATTGGATCGGCCAGGGTGAAGGGCTTAACTAAGTATTAGTTGAGGGCGAAGGGCTTAGTACCATGAGGTTGCAATCGGGCCACCAAGTCCATTATGTAGTCTGGGCTGCCTGTCCTTCTCAAGGAGTGGACGGGGCATAGAACATGTGCGTTTTCCGATCGGGGATTGGTCTGTAGTCCTCGTTTTCATCGTGTGATGATGTAGATGGGGCCTCTGAAGCGTCTACTTATAGTTATAGTCGACCTTCTCTTGACCTGAACTCTCGTATAGGTGAACTTGTTTTGTTCAATTCTTAGGAAGAAGAAGGATCTACTGGGAATGGTAGGGCTCCCTCGATGTCGTTGGATGAAACTGGTGGTCGGATTACCCCTTCGTACGGTAACAAATCCCACGCATATCTTCTTTGTCTGTCACACCGTACGTCGCCCGGCTTAGGGTAGGGGGCAGCCCCCCCAACAGACGTAGGTTGCGTATGAGCCTCCAGTAGGACTCTGGCACCCGAACTGTAGAAATGGGTCCCGAACTAGGGGTGGTTTGATGGGTGCTCTTTGGGTTCTTAGATCCGGCGGCTCCTTTACTCACTTAGCCCCCTACGTAGGCGGGGGGAATCACCCCCCCCCTCAACTGCCAATGGCCAAATCCTTACCCATACGAGAACTTGACTGAGCGAAATTAGCGACTTTTCGATCTGCTGTGGCCTACTAAAGAAACTCTAACCTTACAATGTTCATTATAGAATACTGCGTATCCATTTTTCCTCCCTTTCATTTCATAATACGATTAGCCTAATCTGCGAAGGTCGGTGAAATGCAGAAATGCAGGATGACCAAAAACGAACTCACGGAAGTTCGATCAACTATTCCCCCCTAAGGCTGAGGTCTTTGATGCGCTTCTTCATCAGTTCTTTCGTCAGTTATCAATTGTCTTTCAAGGCGGTTTCTTTTCTTCTTTCTTAGGTATCTTCTCGTCTGTCTTAGGTATCTTTTGGTCTTTCTTAGTTTTCTCGTCGTTAGTCACCTCTGTTTGTTCTTGTTCTTCTTTATCTAATAGCGTTCTTTCTTCAGTAAGACTTTTCTGTCTCTCTGTAGTGTATTGAGTGTGCATCCTTTTATCTGTATTCTTCTTAGCATCAAACTGTGATATCATCTCTTTGTATCTCTCGGCAAACTCTCTTTCCTTCTTAGATAATTTCTCATTTAGAATTTCATTTTCAGTCTGTAGTTGTATTAAAGCATTCCCTAGTGATTTTGTTTTTTGTTTTCCTGGCTAGACAAGTCTTGGATATCAATTGGATCAGTATCCACCCAGACATCTCTGTGATATACTGGTATCCTCTTGGTCCCCAGCTGAAGCCCAACCCTGACCATTGTGTCTTTCTTGATGATGTTAAGAGTGTGCCAATCAATCCGGAAGTTGGCTTCCACCGGTACCTGTTTTGTACGAGATGGGTCCGCGTACTGTGACTCAAACCATTCTTGATTGACCTGGTTTTTCGCTGGTCCCTTGTACTTGAGTATATTGGAGCCACCTATTGCGATGTAGCAATAGGATTTCGGTGCTAAAAAGTATCCTTTCATGACTCTGTCCTCTAGCTTAAACTTACCTAAGACAGAAGAAGAAATCACTTCTTTAGGTAGTGGCTGACCAAGCACAACTGAGTCTGTGTCCGTGTAGTAGCAGTCCTCTCTTGAGATATAAGGGTACATATAGATCCTAGCAGAGGCAGTGATCGCAGCAGCTAGTTGGACAGCAGAGTTCTTCGGTGGATTCCAATAATCTGAGCCCTTCTCGGTATTGCTATGGTAGGCAACGATGTAGTTGTTCTCGCTAAGCATATCACCGAAGATGAACTCACTATGCCTGATCAAATGTTTGTATCGATCTTTATCGCAGACCTCGGTTGTCGTGCTTTTAGGGTTAATGCCAAATCTACCGTATAGCGAATTCATAAGGATCTTGTACACATAGGACATGGCCTCATTACCTGATATCCTTGCCTCTAACCTGCTCTCACAAAGAGTGAGCTAACAAAGTCCCTGAATGGGCTTTCCATCCTCTCAAAGAGGTAGCCTGAGATTGGGATTACAGTGTAGCCTAGGCCTCTTGCATACTTTAACTCCTCGCAATAGTACACTCCAACAAATTCCCCGGTTGGAAAGATGAGAGTGTTCTTCTTGTTGTCTCGATAGGGTAGAAAGGGCTTCTTGATAGTCTTCGGACATACCACATATGCCTCAATAAAGCCAAACATGCTATCTAAGTCCTTGCCTTCCAGATTTCCATGCCAGACTGGCACACCACCAGGCATTGGAAATTCCTTCATTACAAAGGGATAGAGAGAGTTCACATCGTAGTAGTATAGGTCCTCGCCATATGGCTTGTATACATCTGTATGACCACCGTAGTAGGCACGCCTTATAAAGCTGTCTTCATTCTTGTTTGGGATGTGGATTGGCCAATTAGAAGCATCGTAGTATTTCATACGAAAGATGCTAAGAGCAAGTGAGGAAAGGGTTATCTTGCTTTCTATGTCCACCTTGTACAGCTTCCAATATATCTCTTGAGCGCATTACACCTCCAAGGAGAAGGATGTCCTGCTTCATATAGTCTAACAAGTTCTTTTTCATACTTGCCAGATTTGACAGTGTCACCTCATCATATGCGATAGAGCCTTTCGGGCCAAGACCCGGGCATAGATTCTTAGCTAGGGAGGCAAGTTTGCCAGGGAGTAGATTCAAGGAGTCTCTGAAGCGGAATAACATCTTCGTACCAGAATAGACAGCTAACTCGTATAGCCTATGGTTCCTCATCAGTGGTTTTAGCTTGTAGCTCTTGTGATGACATGCTAGGTGCTTAAGCAAGAGAATTCCATCGAATCTAGAGAAGTTGTGGAAGTAAATTGTTAAAGGGGATTGTTCTTGTCTAACAATCGTTGATATCCTTAATACCAAGTCATAAAGTACCTTAGTACTCCTTTCTTCAAAGGAATCCAAGATTATAGAGTAGTCTTCACTGAAGTAGCTATCAATCAGAATATCATAGATCTGTTCACCGGGACGAACCATCAAGAGACCTGCAGCATAAGGCTTATGAACATTATCGATCAGTAGAGTCTCCGTATCGGCTACAATGAATGGTTTCAGCTCAGTGCGACATGGTTTGAGTGCTGTGATATGGGTTGGATAGCTACGATTACGATTTCGGATCTCTCTTGCTGGCTCGATCTCACTCAATCCGGCTTGAATGATTGAAGAAAGTGAGCTATCTCTCTCCTCTGAAGATAGGGCTGGCCTATCCATCTTTTTGCCGTCCATATAGACTCGGATCATGAGTCGAACTATATAATCTCCGTTGTAGATTTCTGCATATTTCATAATTGATCGAGATATATGAGCATAGACCTCACTCATTGGAATTAACTTACCATCGGGATCAGTCAAGGGGATAGCAGGACCTAGCGTAAATGAGATCTCCTCTCCGTAAGATCGCTTCATGGTAAAGGAAATTGTGAACTTACCGTAACCAGATAAGGATGGGTAAGCAAACTGGATTAAGAGAGACATGGTCGCAAGACAGAGTAGGTCAATCTCGTTAACAAGAGGGGGAGGCTCGATGAAGTGATGTGAAGCAATGATTAACCCAAGATGCGGATCTTGGTGTGTTGTTCGTTCAATCTTTTTATACAAGCGATTCAATAACTGTCCAGTAGTTGAGCTGTCTGTGGTGTATGCCATCATCTTATGATTCATACTTAATAGTGTACGCAGTAGTAATTTCCCTCCCCGCTTATTAGCTTTGACTTGAATTTATCCCACTTTTCCTCATGAGCTCGAAAACAATCCCTAGGGTTAGGGGATTGAAAATCACCGCATACATAACGAGTATAGTTCTCGTAAGAGGTCAGTATTCCCGAGATCCTTTCTTCCCAAGTTGCCATCATCTTCTTGCTTATGTTCTCAGGTACATTAGCCTTTAAGTAATAATGAAGAATCTCTTTTGAGATTACCTTATCGGCAAAGTAACCCTCATGAGGTCCAGCTGACTCCACTTTGACAATAGGTTTCATAATATTCATATAGATGAACTCGTTGAGGATTGAAAGTGGAGGGCCCATCTCACAAATGACCTTGATATAAATTATTGGTAGAAAATAGCTATATTCAGCTGTAGTTATAAAGTTGTCGTGTACTGTGTATATAGGCGCACCCTTTTCAAGCATACATTCTACTACTTTCATTGCAATATGGGCATCCCTCTGATGGATGAAGTTTACGAAGGTAGAGATTTCAGTCTTCCTACGATCTCTCTTAGAAGAAGAAACTCTGAGAGTCACCCGACGCCTCTTCTTATGAAGTCCATCATAAAACCATACATTTATGGGATCCATTTTCATATAATCCTGTACCGTGGTAAAGGAAGGGACTCTATAGAAAACTGGGCTATCCCTAGCAGACGCGATCCAGCCTATATGGCGGATCAACCGGATCAGGCATTCCGTGTTCTGATATTGCGTCCTCCAGAACTTAAAGCAGACAGAGGCAACATCGAAGCATTCCTTATGAGTGATGAAGCGAGAGAGAGTGTCTTTTAGATCGCTGGCCGTGCTCATTAAAGTTTTGCCATAGATCATAGGCATAAAGATACCTTTGACTAGCTTACGAGTGAGCACATTGCAAACTATCGTTGATAGATGATTATTATCCAGTTCTGCTTTCATGAACACCTTGAGATCTTCGAGGATGAATGAATAAACATCTTGGATTTTTCCATCCGGGATGAGATTCGTTCTCGAAGCCAGGCTTTCATCCAACAAAAAGTAACTCATAATCTGATATGCACTCGCTGAGGCGTCTTGGGTTAAAGGGATGCGCGTAATAACCTTCAAATTTGGAGAGGTAACTCCAATTAGATGGGCGAAGAGCTGAAAGGGGCGTTTAGCCTCCCGAGCGTACATGAGAAGATCATCATCATGACTGAGCTGCAAGAAGTTGTTATTAGAAAAGTATAATGCCTCGTCGACAGAGACGAAAGACTTGTAATGGAAGGCTGCTGCGGCGAGATATGCATTCATGTCAATATTGCCACTAGATTTGATATCCGCAAAGACGATCATGCTTCTTGCTAGATCACGCTCGTGGAAATGCAAGACACCACTGCGGTAGATTCGACCTCGGAAGTCGAGAAAGGCTGGCAAATAAAAATGATAACCTTCGTAGGCTTGTGCCAGCTTCATAATCAAATTCTCATAACGAGAACGCTGTATGTTCTTAGATAAAGTATGTAACAATTCGCTAAAGTTACATAATTTATTAATAACCTCATCCTTCATGTGAAACTCTCTAAGTAAGTTGGATACATCTTTGATATTCATAGAGGATAGAAATCTTGGCATGAGTAAACCAGATTCAACAAATGAGTCCTCATTATATTTAAGACATTTCAACCAATGCAACCGGATCAGGCATTCCGTGTTCTGATATTGCGTCCTCCAGAACTTAAAGCAGACAGAGGCAACATCGAAGCATTCCTTATGAGTGATGAAGCGAGAGAGAGTGTCTTTTAGATCGCTGGCCGTGCTCATTAAAGTTTTGCCATAGATCATAGGCATAAAGATACCTTTGACTAGCTTACGAGTGAGCACATTGCAAACTATCGTTGATAGATGATTATTATCCAGTTCTGCTTTCATGAACACCTTGAGATCTTCGAGGATGAATGAATAAACATCTTGGATTTTTCCATCCGGGATGAGATTCGTTCTCGAAGCCAGGCTTTCATCCAACAAAAAGTAACTCATAATCTGATATGCACTCGCTGAGGCGTCTTGGGTTAAAGGGATGCGCGTAATAACCTTCAAATTTGGAGAGGTAACTCCAATTAGATGGGCGAAGAGCTGAAAGGGGCGTTTAGCCTCCCGAGCGTACATGAGAAGATCATCATCATGACTGAGCTGCAAGAAGTTGTTATTAGAAAAGTATAATGCCTCGTCGACAGAGACGAAAGACTTGTAATGGAAGGCTGCTGCGGCGAGATATGCATTCATGTCAATATTGCCACTAGATTTGATATCCGCAAAGACGATCATGCTTCTTGCTAGATCACGCTCGTGGAAATGCAAGACACCACTGCGGTAGATTCGACCTCGGAAGTCGAGAAAGGCTGGCAAATAAAAATGATAACCTTCGTAGGCTTGTGCCAGCTTCATAATCAAATTCTCATAACGAGAACGCTGTATGTTCTTAGATAAAGTATGTAACAATTCGCTAAAGTTACATAATTTATTAATAACCTCATCCTTCATGTGAAACTCTCTAAGTAAGTTGGATACATCTTTGATATTCATAGAGGATAGAAATCTTGGCATGAGTAAACCAGATTCAACAAATGAGTCCTCATTATATTTAAGACATTTCAACCAATGACTGTTGATTTGAAAGGCCTGACCCTGCAGCTTGTTCATTACAAGACACAGTTTCTCGTAATTCTTTTCTCTTCCAATATCAATATAAAAATGATTAATGTCACCTGAACTTAAGAGGCGGTAACGATCATATAGGCCACCTGTTGGCCCACTTAAGTAACCCCCTGATAGATCGTACAGGTATCTAGGATTTTGATCTCCCCGGCAGGCACTCGTCCAATCTCGAGGGTTGCATACCATAGGCAGGTTGGGCTTGATCGGTAGTAATAAAATATCAAAGTTGCAGACTGCGTAGAGATGGCTTGGAAGAAAATAAGATCCTTTCTTCTTCTTCACTCGAACAGTACCGCTCAAATCAGTCACTAAACTGATCAATTTCCTTTCCTCCATGAATTGAACTAAGCCGGAACCGAAGGGATACATCATCACCAATTTGGATCTTTTCCTATCCGACTTCTTCACTTTGAAATCATTCGTGGCACTAGAAAACGGTTTATTACACCTGCCGCTTTTCAATAATGAAGCTTGGTGACGGACACTAGACTCTAGTTGTTCAACCAAAGAAGCAACACGAATTAGTGAGTTAGATTCAACTGAGTAAAAAAACATACTTAGTACATGAACTATTAATGCCTCAATCGTATATTGACCGAACTCTGAAAGCAATTCAAGATCATCCTTTTCGAATGGCCTTCTCCTGAGAAAATCCTTAGCACTTTCCTCATTTTCCCTGATTAAGATTTTGATTATGTCGGAAGCTGACCTAAAAATAGATTTCTCATCGAACCATATAGTAATCTCCTCAATTTGCTTTTGGATCTCACTTAATTCATCTACACTTAATGGTAATCTTGTTTTTGCTTCTTCCAAAATATCGAAGGCGGTTTCCTTATACTGAACTGAGTGACTCTTACCATGTTGTCCACTCTTGTTAGTATTTTGCAATAAATAAGTGTAAAACTCATTCCAAAACCTTATTAGTTCCTTTTTGTCTTCCTCTTTTCTAGGCATATCATCCAATGATCGAGTAAGCCAGTTTTTGTGATTCATGTCTTTCCTTTTTTTTCAGTTTGAAGTAAAACATGGGATTTCACTGAAATTAGCTTGAGATTCCTTCGCTGAAATTCGATTCCTTCGCCAACTGACGTTACCTGCGGCTTGAGATTCCTTGTCCGAAATTCGATTCCTTGGCTTGAGATTCCTTTGCTATTAATTTTTCAGTTGTCGCTACCCATTACTGGACGATCAGTATTCTTTATACCACACCTCGCTATACTATATTAATGAAGTGGGGGAGAACCCTAGCCACGCTCAGGCTTTGAGTGGAATAAATATGAAGCATTGAACCGATCGAGAAATAGGGAAGGCTCGAGAGACCTGCATATAGTTGGCAGGGCCAACCAATTACGCTTACCAATGAATGATATGGGTTTTCAAAATGCTTAGGCCTCCTTCGGTTCATCAAGGAAAAACCCTACCCTCCCTTTCTGTCCTTGAGGCTGGGTTAATTGAACTAATCAAAGTGTCGCGGAAGCCCCTACTACAACCTTTGTTTGCTCAGGCTTACAGGAGCTAACGTTGAAACGTCTCCCCGGATCGAGATTCGAATCTTCCGCTCTCCGCCAGCTCCTGCACAAATCTCTTCTGCCACCGTTGGTTCTATCTTTAACATGCAAGCCTTTGAATTCGGTTCCTATCTACCGTTGGTGTTAAAGGGAGCCGGCAGCTATTATTCAACTTTCATCTTTCTTTTCTTTGAATGAGGGGAATGTTTTTGCTAAAATGCTTCCTGGCTTGAAGTTGGGAGATTATCCTCTACCTTCTTTCAGGCTCACTCTAACAGTTCCTTCAGTCTGCCAATCTCTCTTTCTTATATCTGCGTTTTATGGCGGAAGGGCCCCAAGCGGACCGTACCGGGCCTCTCGAACGAACCTTCCGGTCGGGTCTTAAGGAGAGCAATCATAGACCAGGGGAGAAACCAGTTACAGGATCAGGAAGGTCAGAGCTGTCGTTGATATGCAAAACAGAGGAAAAGATATCCCTATAACCAATCTCACTTTTTAGGATTGTACCTTCGCGCACTCCTTTGTTCCACCACAGAGCATTACAAGCAAAAATATCCGACAATTTATGATTTAGGCAAGTAAATCGCATTAATAAACTTTAAGGAATTCCAGGAGCGGGAGAAGCTGTAACTGAAGCAGGAGAACGGGAAATTCCATTTCAAAGAAGATAGATGAATGGGGTACCCGATTGACATCGTAACCATTAACGAAAGAGAAAGGGCATTTAGAAGAATCTCAGAAACATGGC